CAATTTTAAAGCATATTTCCTTATTATCTTCCCATTAGGCTGCTATAACCTTTATAATTTTCTTATTGCTTTGCATCGCTCCAATTTCGCTCCAAAATCGCTTTCCGCACCATTACAACCAGCCATAAATCATTTAAATTAGCGTTTCGAATGTGCAAACAACCCTTAATTGTAGGCGTATAACAGCAGCAAAGTATGCACGAAACCAACAATTCCAGCAAAAACAAAAACTTTACAATAACAACAACATCATATACATGCTATATGAACATTCAACCTGTGCATACTTTCCACTTCCTGGCTACAATCGTATATTGCTGTATAAATCAGAATCTATTTCTCGGCAAGCGTTTTCATAGTCGACATAAAGTCGTAAACACCCTTCGAAAACGCCATTTTACGAGCATTTCAACAGCAACAAATTGCACGGCAAAACGGCTTAACGCAGCTGACAAGTAAACGCACACACACATACACATACGATGTGCTGAAAATCCACATGCAAACAAATCAAAAGTTTTGGGCGACTAGCGCGTCGCCATCTAACCCAGCAACCACCCACTGGAAACACCCTCTAAAAAGTGACGGCGCATACTTGCTGGCTTTCTGTCTACATATCCCCAATGTATGGGGTTTTTTTTCTACCGTTTTCGAAGAATATTCATCCAGTTGCTTGTGATTTGTTTGATGAATTCCTTCGTTGGCAGCACTTGCTTGCACGTGTGTGTGTGTGTGTGTGTGTGTGAGTATGGCACGTTTTATTGTGGACCAATGATGTTGCCAGTGTCTACGTGTCTCCTGGCTATTTTGGCTACTCCTTGTCGTTATTGTTGTTTTGGGCGACCATGAGACGAATGGCAGTTGAGTGAGCGATTGCGCGAGTCTATGGATGAGTGAATGATTTGTGAGCRTGGAGCTGCTTAAATATGAGTATTTAAATGAGCAAATTGAGGGGCGGCAGAGGCCAAGCATATGTGCATGTGGGTGAGTGGCATAGTGAGGCGCAGACAAATAATTTGCAAAAATGATACTGCAAGCTGCATTTTTGTATACAATTAACTTTCATTGTGTGTATGGCAAAGAAATTGCAGATTTATTCAAATCCGCTGCAATGTTAACAGCCAGCAACATGCTTTCACCAATGGCAAATTTTCTTGTTAACCAAGTTGAAAACAAGCAGTGTTGCATTTTCTGTTGGAAAAAGAAACTACATTAAAAAAATTAAAAGAAAAAAAATATATCGCACGGGATAAACAATAAAAAATGCATGTGATAAATTTATTGCATACACGACTTTTTCTACACATTGCGCTTAGACACTTATAACCTACTCAATTTACCACGCTGCCCCAGCCATTACTACCGCCAACTCCACAACTAGCTACAAGCCCGTCTTCCAATCAACAATCGTGGCTGTAACGCTCYACCATAGTGGATGCCACAATTTTCGTGTGAGTGCYACACTCCTCCTTCAGTAATTTAGAAGTGAGAAGGCGTCGTTTGGTACGAACGCGTGGACCAACTAGCAACTTCATCATCAAATTTGAATATTATGCGACAGTCGCAACATTTTGACACAGCAAAACAGTTTGCCTACTCGTTTGCACGCTGGATTGCTTTCTTCGCCTGCCATTGTCGCTGTCAGTGGATATCCGTGTGCTCTATTGCCAAAGCAGGCATCATATTACTGCAACATGCAACTTGCTACATGCCACATGTAGCACAGCCGTTGCGCAGTGTACCTGGTGCATTACCGTTTCTTGTGAGGTGACAAACTTAATGCATGCATCGCTATAGTTGTGAATTTTTTATTAGACAGCTGCAAGCGGAACTCTGTTGGCAACATACTACGTAGAAGTAGGTGTGTGTGTGTGCATAGAAATGCATGTTCGCTATTTAGATATAAATAGGAGTATAAAAGGCGAAACATTTGCCACATTGTCCGACATATAAAATCATATGAAATGTTGACAACACGAAAGCTTTATGAGAATTGCGCACAGACACGAGAATTCGGAAGGTGAGCAAAGCAGTAGAATTGTTATCTGTTTTTGTTGTAAATTGTGGAGAACGTCGAAGCTGATGGTATGTAGTTGGAAACCATGTTATTTTTGCTTGTTATGATGGCTTTCTTGCGCTTTTTTGAAATTGCGAAGGTGGCGAATCGAACAAACCACTCGCAGAAATCAAAATGTTTTGGAATAGAAATAATATAGTTACAAAAAAAAATTATGGATAAAGATCTTCCTCAATTTTTTTTTTTTTTTTTTAATGCAAAGTTGGCGAATCGAACAAGCAATTCGCTTAAATAAAAATGAGGTAGAATAAAAAGTGATTGTAAGACCGTGATTGCCTATACACGTATCTTCGGTATTGAATTTTTCAAAAATATTTRTTTGAGGGTAAAGACCAGTCTTCGATTTAAAAAAAAAAAAAAGTATTTGAAAGATTTTCTTATCAACTGCTCTTGTTCTAACAATATAGTTTATTTTCTTAAATAGTGAAAAAATTTCCTTCTTTCAATTCCTCTGAAAACTAAGTTTTTCAAACTGGGCCACGAAGAGAGAAATTCAATTCCTTTTCCTATACTCCAAAATTAAAATGTTTAAGGTTAGGCCTCCTTTTAATGCTCCAGACTGACCTAACCGCTAAAGAATATGGGTAGAATATAGAACTTAAGAATTTTATTTCAATATAGGAGAAACATATAGCTCTAAGCTCCAGCAACCACACACTGGAAACACCGTCTAAATAGTGGCCGCATTGTGGTTTTAATCATAAAGAGACCCCTTTACTATAATTAATATTTCCAAAAAGTTACTGAGGCCTACTAAGAGAGCTTAAAAAATCACAGAAGCAAACTCGAAGAACACAAGTTTGACTTTTTAATTTTTTAAATATATCAATAGTACATTCTCTAAAATCGAAACTAATTTTCTTTACACCACACAAATACAAGCATGTAAAAGTGAACACATATGCCCCGTCAAGTGGCGCTTTCGAATTCAATTAAAATATTTTCATTCAAACTTTGGGGCAAATGCAAATAAAAAAACTAAACAAAAAGTTAACTCCCTCATGTATCATCTGTGACGTCCCGCTAGGACGGCCATTTTCAGCATCAATTAAATTGAATTTTGCGCTCACTCGAGCACACTAATACAACCAAATATCGGAAAGAAACCCAGAATATATAAATATATAGTATTTACCCAAAACCAACAAAGCAGTCAACCAAAAAATAATGAAAAGAAGWATCAAGAAAGCCGAAACTTTTAAGATATTTGCTATTGTTATTTTTTGTGTTTTTGTTTTTAGGAAAATTGTTACATTCCACTCTTTGAACGCAAACAAATTTACGCCACACTTAGTGGCAAATACGCAAGAAAGCGTAAAGAAATGTGGTGCGCGCTTTGCCCACTAACACCTCATAACAAACCAAGCATGGTGTGGGAGGACAGCAGCCGTACATTTGCGTTGCAAGCCAGTGGAGAACGCTCCAG